CTGACTTGCTTCTTCTACAACTGAATTATGGTTATATGATTGACTGGCATTTTCCAAAATGAAAATCTTGCATTTAGTTCTACTAGCATTCAAGGCTGTGCCCGCATATGCATATGAGTAATGACATATTTTCAAAGGAATACTGCCTTTTAGAATGAACATTAAATTCAAATTCTCAAATTTGGCCTATAAATGTATGTATTCATCAGTGTGGTGAAAGTTTAGGTCTTGAAAATAGATGCAACCCGGTTTTTCTAACTCGGTGCTTCTTTGTGAGTCTCCCCAAAGTGCAAGAGAGTGGGTTCCTAGCTCTTTTGGGAATTGCGAAAAAGTGCCAAGAAATACTGGTTTTTGTTCAGATGTTGACGCTTCAAAGTTGGAATCCAAAAAAGTGAAGTTAGCAAGATACCATAGGAAAATATATGAATGTTGTTCAATAATTACATAGAGTGTTTTTCTCTCAAAAAAACAAGTTGCGTTAAAATAAGTAGTTGCGTTGACCAGATGAATATTTGAGTTATGGCTTATTTACATAATTCCTTTCTTATTTCAGCTGAAGAGCTCACAAGAAGATGGTGTTTCTGCATTTGGTTTTTCTGCATTGATTAGGTGTTTCTGCATTGATTAGGTGTTTCTGCATTTATTGGGTGTTTCTGTATTGATTTGGTATTTCTGCATTATTAGTTCTGCTTCCAGCGACTGGTTTTTACTGATGCCTTTAGAATTGACTTTCTCCTTGCGCTAGAATAATCCTCAGTATTCTATTCGACTCAGCTGTAAATGGGTATGGATAATCTGAGTAAAATCATTGCCAAGAAATTTGGTCAAGGAACAGCTGTTAGACAGGAACTTCTGAACCTAAGCTGTCCTTGTAAAAAATCTTTCTATCTATCAGTAGGATGACTAACCTTTCTGCAACCGAGTTCTGGGCCATGTGTCTCAAAAAAATCTCACAATCAATATTTGTCTAAGTATGGTATTTCTCAGTGTAAAATTCCACACTTAAGATAGATTTTGAAAGATTTTTTGAGAAACGGGCCTCGTATTTCTGCTTCCATTCGGTGTTTCTGCACCTTTTACTAGATACCAGTTAATCATACCAAGATTACCTTTCCACTACCATTCAACAAGAATTGCCATGATACAAAGACCATCAGCAATTATTTGGATGTTTGCTTCATGGCTACCATTTCTTCTTTTAAGCTTTATTGTTCGTATTTCTGTTTTTTTGATTTGGGGTATTTTTCTATGTACAGCTTTGGAAGTTCAGGTCAAAGTTGGCAGTAAAGGTCAAAGTGAGTGTATGAGGTCTAATGTCAAAGATGGTGGTTGGGGTCAAAGGTCAGTGATAGTTGTTGAGGTCAAATGTCAAAGATGGTTGTTGAGGTCAAGGGTCAAAGTTGATATTTGAGTTCAAGGGTCAAAGTTGGTGTTCGAGTTCAGGGGTCAAAGTTGGTAGTTGAGGTCAAAGTTTTCTTTTCAGGTTATGGTGGTATGGATGAAGGGAGGGTTTC